GATTTTCAGATTGATCAAAACTTATATAATTTGTGAAAGCTTATTAATAGTAAAGTTTTTTGAAAAACCTTATCCCTTAAACTGTATTATATACAAATTTGCCTATAATTTTATTTGTCAACAAAATTATTTTATATCTCTTGATGTATGTTACTCTTTAATAATGTATTCTTTCATTATATATTTTAGCTTATTTAAATTTTCAGGACAAGGTTAATCTTTTTTCTTAATGGTTAAAATACAAATAACATAATTATATTCTTTTCAAAAATACATTACAAAAATAAGTATCAAAATTCGCCTAAAATTGATCTACAGATTAATGGATAAGACACATGGCTTAAAAGTCTTAACAAAGTTCTTCAGATAGATCAGAAGTCTTAGAAATAACTCTTATAGTAATCTTATTTTCTTTAGAATTAAACTTCTTTCAAGTATCCTTCCAACTCGAACATTCTTTAATTAACTCTATTCTGAACATTATTTGAATTATCTTTGCCCAAGATATAAACTTAGAATCAAAAATATAAGATATATATTTGAATATATCAAAGCAAAAAAACAAGCAACTCAAATAATAAACATAATAAATAATATTTTTTGTTCAGATCAAGATAAAGAATCAATTGATTATATATAACAAGTTGTTAAACTGTTTTGTGATTTTATCAACAGAATATTCATTGTAACTAATATTGATAAATAGACAAAAACAGCTACTGAAGCCCTTATTTTTTGTATAATCTTATTTGAAAACCAAGATACAATATAGTCAATATATCTTTCTTTATAGGAATCACATGAAATCAAAATCTCCATTAATTACATAGAGACCTCCATGTCAAAAATTACACTTGAACTTAACAATCACCTGATTTAAGTATAAGCTCAGCACTTTATGAAAAACCATTACTATAGATCTACTATCTCTTATCACAGATGAATTTATACATAGTAAACTTAATCTCTTACTTTGCTTTAAAAACATAATATTTAAATTTAATCAAACTATTATTATTAACTTTGAGTAAATAATCATAGCTGCTTAGCACTATCTTTGACATATATAGGTTTTAATATTTATTTTTCTATATACTTTGATGAAATATATAAGCAAGCTATTATTAAACTTATTAATCCAGTTGTTATATAAGAGATATTATTACTTTCTTTATATATAAAATTTTTATATTTTTTGTAACTAATAAAGTAATAATATTTATATATCTTAAAAAACAATAATAATAATAAATTAATAATATTTATTTATTTAAAAAAATATATATTATCAAACTTGTAAATATTATTAAACAAAAATTATAAGTTAAAATTTATAAAAAATATTTTTATATTTGAATAAATTTATTATTAAAATAAATTATATATATTTTTTTTAAATTGTTTTTAAAAATTTTTATAAGTTTTGTTATAAAAATCAAAAAATTAATTTGGATTAAAAGTTGGTTTATAAAATTTAATATAATTTTTGCTATTTAAGAATATTGTATTTTAATTTAGTTTGTCAATATATTATTTTTATATATAATATAAGTTAAAACTATAAGTTTAATAAAGTTATTAAAAATATTACAGTATTTTTTTTTTTTTTTATGGTGAAGAAGGCGATCGATGCCTAATGGTTTTTATTGAACTTAATTCAAGCCATATACATGAACGGTCTTATACATGCTAAAATATTACAGTATTAATAGTAATAGTTTTTATATAAAATTACAAGTTAATAAATAATAAATCAATTAGGTTTATTGTATTGATACAGTAAATTGAACACTTGAATAAACTGATTTGTATTTTGAGATTATTGACTTTTGACTACATAAAGAATCCAGTTGTCTTGATTAAACTTTTCTGAATTACATATTGGACAAAACCATATTGCTTCTTTTTCTAGATAGAGTGTATATCTTGTAATGTATATTTTCTAATTGATAGAATGAAAAGTTTGAATATTAGGTTGCTAATCAAAATAGGTTATTGTTTTTCTCATGAATGATAACTAAGATTATTGTAACAAATCAGAATTGAGTTGAGGCATTTGAAAGATATCTTGTAAGCTGATTTGATAAAATATTTTTAATTTATACAAATTTTTATTAATAATAATTTAATTAATTAATAAAAATTTTCGAATATACTGTATTTTCTAAATTTTAAGGTTCGTATACTTAATGTTGAATACTTTATAAATAGATGTTGTCCTATATTAAAATTATTAGAATTTAATTTAATAAATAATATAAATTCAGATATATTTTATTAGATGTTAATACACATATGATGTATTTGGATAGGGATCATATTTTATTCTTTAATTACACTACTACAATAATTAATATTAGGATTACGTTATCCCCATCAATCCAAGAATAAAAATAAGTATAGTCATTTTCCAACAGCTGCGTGGAGTACATCTACCTGTTGTTTGATGCTCTTACTAAAAATCGGAAATATCTTATAAATCAAGTTTATCGTATAGAAATTGAAGAGAAAAACTTTTCAGGGAAACATACATATTATTTGCCATTATCTGTACATTGGCAAACTCTTTATCTAATCGGACGCACATTTCTATTAATTCTCGCGTTTTGTTTGATGCATCTTTCAAGACCTCGCCATGATTCAAAACTGCTTGTTTATACACGTCAAATGAAGCTGAAGTTAAAACTGAGGCCTATATAAAAAAAAAAAAATCATTTTTTCTAAGTAATGTCTAAGCACCTTAGCACACGACCAGATATTAAAAAGTAGTATAATCATTGTTATTGTCGAAATTGAAAAGAAAATAAGAAACCTCAAACATTTGTGAGTGCAAATTCCGCAGCATAGCTTCCAAGTCATTAGCGATTCCATAAGTCTGTCTTTCTAATTCATTAATTAATTTTGGGTCAATTGGAAGTGATCGTCCGATAGAGAAAGTGTTTCCTCCAGGAGGGTCTTTCGGTGATGAAGAATTTGACATTATGTGAGACTGACGATCACGATTATGCAACATATTAATGGTTTATAATACCCCTGTAGAACACTTTCTTATTAATGCATGGATGCTTTAATAATCTGACCAATAAGCATGCAATATGTACTTTATTTATTTTTTTATTTTTTTATAGGCAAAGCGCATTACATGCGAGACTTTTTATTAATCACTAGAATTACTATTTGTCATTACATGAAAGATCTGACTAACTATATTAGCTAATCTAATCCTAGCACCGCCTGTTATAACCCAGCTATACTTACTTACACCCAGGAGGTGGGTATATGTACTTTATTTATACTATATCTTTTTTAAAAAAATATATAAATTCTTAATAATACTAGAAAAACCAATTTTTTAAAAAAAAATCTAAAAATTACAGTGATATAAATGATATATAAAATTTAAAATTTATTGTTTATTATAATATTTCTTTATTATATCTTTAAATAATAAAATTATATATATAAATAAATCTATAGTTTGGTGTAAAAAAGTTTTGAAATTCTTATTTTAGCTTATAATTCAATATCAATTAATAATATAATATATGCAGTATATATTATTTAAATATTTAAATATTAAAATTATTTAAAAAATTTTTTCATTATATAATAATATATTAGTAAAATTATATTTAAAAATAAACAATTTTTAATAATTTTTTATTAATTATAAAAAAATTATTATAAATTATTTTTATATTTATAACATTTTATATTAAAAATAACATAAACAAAATATTATTTATAATTAATAAAGGAAAACTTTATTTATTAAAAAGAAAACCAAACAACTTTGTTATTTTTCAAAGGAAAAGAATTTCTTAAATATATATTTTTTCAATATAAATAAATAAAATAAAAATATATAATTAAAAATATATATATAATCTTAATAGTTTTTTCAAAAGATTATATATACTTAATTAATTATATGAAATATAATAAAAAATAATAATAATAAATAAAAATAGAAACTTAATAAAATATATATGAAACTTATTCTATAATTTAATTAGTTAAACAAAATAAACAATAAAAATCTTATTGGTAAAAAATTCTTTCCCACTTCCCCTTCTATGCTTGAAAACTTCCTTTTTAGGAAACTTTTTGAGCTGTCTATTTTTTTTTTTACTTCCTTTCTTCCCCTTCCTTTTTTTTGATTACAAATTTTTTATTTTCCTCTCCTTCTTCTCTCCTTTCTCTCTTATCTCCTCTCTTTATACTTTTTCCCCTCTTCTTCCCTGCCAAAGTTAGGTTTTTTCTTCTCTCTGAAGTTTTTCCTCTCTAGGCCTCTCTTTCTTTTTAAAAAATACTATGCTCCATTTTATCACTCCTCTGACCAGTTGACTCTATTTTCTCAAGAATTATATAAGAAATGACAACCTTCTTCAAGAAATAGGCTTTGAAAAATTTTTCTCTTCCATGATTTTTTAGAAAAAGGATGGATGGTTTACCCTCCAAAAGATCGGCATGACCATCATTACCAAATCTGGCATTGTTTACTTGTTAATGGTTAGACTAAATATGTCTAAGAAACCGGTGCACACTATTATTGGCCAAATCTTTAGGTGCTGCGCCTTATGGGAATCTAGTAAAACAATACGTAAAGATCAGGAATTCTAGTTACCCTCGCAAATAGAGCTGATGACGTCAATCATTCACTTCTCGACAATATAGGTTTCTTGTGCAAGATTAAGTAACAATGCCTATAAGAAAATCCAATCCAATTCTATTCATTGAACACTTCCGTCACACTTGAACAGTAGATATGCCAAATTCTTTTTGTGACTTGGAGGACAACCTGCATAAAGTGGCTACAGCACCTTCATGCATTAAGGTAGCATTAACAAATCAAAATCTGGCAGTAATATCACCACCAACTTCTCTTGTCATATATTAAGCCATACTTGGAAAGCAAGAGTGCTAATCCTACTTATAACTTGAAGGCCAACCTGTGAAAATATGGCTGTAGCACCTTCATGTGTTTAGGTAATCAAATTATTTCTAGGAAACTAAACACCACCCCAAGGGTTTGATATAGGTTTTGAAATTCATTTTACTATATTTCTTGGAGGGTGCCCAGAGTATAGATAGGAGATCATTATAAGTCTTGCATTTAACTCTACTTATAGTTTAGAGAGACCTAGTTCATTTTTTCATATTGTAAATCTTTCTAAAAGTCAAAAATTACAATAAAAATGCTAAATAATATTCATCCTTGCTTTTAAAAAAAAAAAATAATAATTTTATTGATATTTTACTAGATATTAATGATTATTCACTTTTTAACTTGAGTTTTAATTATTATATGGATATGTCATGTAATTTAGATAATCTAAAATTAAAAAATACAATATATATCTTTGGATATTTTTACTTTCAAATATCTTAAACAAATAAAGTTTTTACTATTATAATATTCCAAATTACTTACTTATAATACTTATACACTTTATATTCTTATACTACTTATTTATATTATATGACTCTCTTTGATCATTATATGTATTGTTACAATATTTTGCAAAAAAAAATTTATTTATTTTTTTTTAATATAGATAAATATTATTTTTTTATTTAATTGTATATAGTAAAATATATATAGTGAAAAAAAATAATACTTATATGTAAAGATAGGTTCCTAAAGTATTTAGCATATAAAATTTACGTCCCTTTACGTCCCCGTCCCCTAGAGGACATAATTCCTAGCTCTTTACTTCAATAGGGACATAATTCCAGAAATGATTTGTATAGATGTTT